TATACCTAAATCACTATGTAGGTACGATATTTTCACTATAAATAGATCTCGTTTTATCTATGGCTAGACACGGAATGGTTGGAATATCGAAAATGTATCCGGATCACGAGCTTTTATCTGAAGATGTAAAAGCCGTGAATGTAATCGCGTTTCGGTTTCAGTCTGTGGATTTCAGGATATCCTGACTAGATATGCCATGTATTCTCTATAGCGTTTATTTTTCGTACAATTGAGTGAATCCTATGCTTGTCTTTCGAGTCGATTCCTAGTCGATTCCTAGTCGATTATATTAACAACAAGGTTAATCGTACTACATGCATACGACTATTTATTTATTTAATCCCGGGATTCGAATCTCAGAAAAAACTAAAATAAAAATATACCTATAAAAATATTTATATTTCAAATTAAAATTAAGTTGTTTGTCTGTCTGTTCGTCGTGACTCTACAGAGTGTTCAAAAGGGCAACATAGCTGAGACCATCCAAGAAACTCAGTCCGGCTTCTTTTAACATATCTTATAAACATAATACATTGTAAATTTATTAACCTAAGGAGCCATATATTACCCATCTTCTCATTAAAAAATCTTCAGACACTAACTAATACGCCTTTTGAGACAATCTAAATTTTATAACTTTTTTAAATTTATTTATCGATTATTTTGAAACCTTAACTAGCAATGTCATGTCATACGAATATAAAACTATGCTATGCATCACCAATGAGCCCGAGAGTTTTAGGAAGGCGAAAGCTTAAAGTGACCTTGCGTTGCTTATTAACAGAGCACGAAATAGGAATAATCCCAGCCAAATAGTTGATTATTAGAATCATCATAAGATCATGAGGATTCGAATCTAGGACCTCTCAACAAATGGACCTATGGAGGCGGTATTTGTTTTCCACTACACAGAAAGTTTTCAGAAATCTAAATTTGTCAGTAAGTAATTCAAAGTTAAGTAAGAAATCGAATTCTGTTAATAAGTTCGTACCTAGAATACTTGCCCAGGTACGAACTTATAAAGCATTGATCAAAGTTTACGGTCAGAAAGCTAGAACTTAGAAAACACAGCGATTCTTGAGAGTTTGATGAGACTTTTGTTATTCCAAGTGCTTATTTGCGAACATTATCGACTCTGGATTCAGAAACTTCTAGAAATGTTTCCCGTAGCTACTTCAGCTGCAAATATCTATTTAATTTAGGTTTTACAAACCTTTCTACTATCTAGTAAATTTCTATGTAAACTACTTTGTAATGCGTTATGTTTACCAATTAAGAGTTTTGTCGCCCCGAGAAGCACAAGTATTTTTATACTGTCTGTAGTTTATGCGAGTAGTACATGTCATGTAATTAAAACACTGTAACGGATTAAAACACGATACATGTATATTAGTTTTTATTTGAATTTTTCTAAACTACGGCCCGACGATTCGGATGCTTTGCAGTGGTGTTCACGGGGAGACTAAAGATGGAGGGTGACGTCAAAGTATAAAACTGCTACGCTAGCGCCATCTGTTCCGTCGAAGTTGGTATTTGGCGATACTGGCCTTGCAGAGTTGAAACGTCGGGCCGTAGTAAAATAAGTTTAAGTAACATATATCGTGTTTTAAACCGTTTAGGTGTTTTATTTAAAAGTATTCTTATATTTATGCGTAGTAATGTATAGTAATCATAAAACACATTGAAGAATTCATATCGCTCTATATGAGACTCAATTCTGTGAACAAATATTCTCATACTTTAGTTATATTTAATATTACATTACATATTGATGGAAAATATTTGTTGTACAAAAATAGAATGGTAAGGTTTTGGATGGTATATTGTATAGAGCGATTGAAATAGTTTGATGGTTCATTCTGAAAATATTTAAAAAAGTGTGAAAACGTGTACATACGTTTTTTCGAAAGTTAAAAAAGAATTCTTTAGTTTTCATAATTTAATTGAATGAAGTGAAGCTTAGGACATGAAGTAATATATTTAAACGTAAAGAGCGAACTAAGAACTATTTCGTGTCAGTCGAGTATAAACAAATGGTAGAATTTTTAAAAAGCACCTACTTGAATTAAAAATCAATTATAAATTGAAAAAAATACTACTCGGGCAAGATTTGAACCTTTGAACTGTTATACAATGCCTTCATGTGAATATATTTTAGTTTTCCTACCTAGTGGAGGTAACATTTCGGTTTAAACCTATTTAATTGTAAAGAATTTACACCAATTATCTCGCAGACAAAGCCGTAAATAGCAAGAAATATATTGCTCACGCGTACCTAAATTGAATGACAGAAATAAAAGCACATTGTTGAAGGGTTAATTTCCAAGCTTTTCGCTGTGTTGCAGTTTTTTGTTCTTTACCCCTTCAAAATTGACGACGGGCTCCGCGCGTTGACTGATTGCTTTGTGTTCTAAAAACCATATATTTTTATTAGGTAGTTGCGAATCTTTTGCCTTTTTTTATTAAAAGACGAGTGTAAAATTTTAAAAATGACTAACTATGTTGCTCTTTAGATTAGTCAAAAAAATTAAAAATGTTTGTCTGTCTGTTCGTCATGATTCTACAGAGTGTTCAAAAGAGCAACATAACAGAGAAGAACACCCAAGAAACTCAGTCCGGCTTTTTTTAACATGTCTTATAAACTAATACATTATTGTGAATTTGTTAACCTAAGGAGCAATTCATATTACTACCAGGCAGTCCTGTCTTTAAAGAACTCGTTCCGTCAATAATACGCCTTTTGAGAAAATCTAAATTTTATAACATTATAAAATTTAAAAATAAAAGAAATAATACATAATAACCTTATTTATTGAGAGATGTATAGAAAAACAAACATTTGTTAAATACTAAAGATGTTTGAAAGCATGGTAACAGAGTAAGAAAACTTTCAGTCAAAAAATGAAGAATATTTGTAATATATTGTGAATGGATACACTTCTAATGTAATGAAATATTTGTTTAATGTTTACAAAGAATGTATATAGATATAAGATATTATTTGATAATATAAAAATTTTAAACTAAGTATTTAGTACTGTAGTTTACGCGAGTAGTAATCAAAACACTTTACTTAACGGTTCAAAAACATAATATATATTAGATAAACTTAAAACAACTTAAAGCATCCGAAACATCGGGTTATATATCGCGTTTTAAACCGTTAAAGTGTCTTATTTAAATTGCAAACTATATAATAACCAAATATGTACCGATTTGAATTCCTCGAATTTGTATATTTTAATATCTGAAAAGCCGTTATTGCGCTACCTTCATACAATCTCTGAACAGTTAAAAGTGACAGCTGTAAACGAGGTAGATAAACAAAGGTCTATGGTTAATTGAATTACGATTCAACTTTTAATTAATGGATGTCACAGCTAATTAGTGGGCAGACTGGGACCGTTAATTAATCTACTATATTAATTAGTTTAATTTTCGCGCAATTGGATTTGCGTGTAAGTGCGGAGTATTGACACGTGAAAACTTTATACGCCACGTGCCTTACGATTACATTTTTTTGTTTTGAGATACATTTTTCAATTTAAGTGTAAGATCGTATTTATAGGTATAGCTCGCGTTTCACTGTGTTACTCGATCATTCAGTTGAAAAATAACTGTACACAACAACTATAAATAGTTGTCTATCTCAAGTACACAACTTACGCCTCAATAACACACATCTTTCACAAATGTAAACAAGATTAAAATTAAAAACTAGCAACTAGTCAAAATTATATTAGTTCAGTTCAACTCAGTAAAACTAATCACTAAGACTGCCTCTATTTCGACTTATACCTGAATGATGAAACATTTTCCCATATGAAGTATTTTGATCAGATATGACCATATAAATGGTTCTTGTAAGTAGTCATATTTTTTAGATTGATTAAAGGAGGATAATTCTTTTATACTTAAGTTTTTGGGCATCTTGTTTCGTTTTCGCAGCGCACGTAAAGATACAAATTTTTCACTGTTTATTCGCTCCTATTGGTCGCAGCTAGATGTTTTCTAACTAAAAATTTTCCTCGATAAATGGTCTAACCGCACAAAAATAATATTTCGGAACCGAACTAGTAGTTACTGACAGTAGTGCGTTGAAATAATCAAAAAAACACACAGCTTTATAATATAGTATAGATACAAATTAGTATCTGTGGATTAACTACTTCTTGCATTAAATCCTAATGAATAATTCGATCGCTAATACTCAAAGAGACAACTTTGACAAATGAAAATCAATTACTTCGCACTTAGCTAACAAATGGAGCAAAAAAGTACGGAACACCTGCCAGCTGTACCGCGGGAGATCTATTCGACCATTATAGCAAAATTAACCCGTACAATGCCGGTTCATTAGTGAACACAATCATATGTGCGGGGACAGCAATCAGCGTTTATTCAATATCCTCACACGAGTTGTTATAGTTTTGTTTTAAATAACGATTTTAATAAAAAGCAAAATACAGACAATAAATTGACAAAAAGATCACGTGTTGATTGTTAATTATTAAATAAATCTCTTAATATTTTGCTTCATAAATATCGTATTACAATTTATCTACTACCATATTAGAATTTGTTCATAATAATATGTGCTTGAACATATATCTAATTTTCTAATTGAAATATACTCTCACTTGTATAAAATACAATTATCTATACTTTTTTTTTTGATCTTAGAATGTCTATTACAAAATTGTATGCAACATTAATTTTAATAATAATAAAACAACTACTACCCGTTTTATATTATTATTATGCCTACGAAACAATAAAGACAGAGAATACACACCTTTGTCGTACATAAAATCGAATTTTAATAAAAAATGTTGATAAAATTTTCAATTCCCGAACAATACAAACACTCCATTGTCGGGTTAATATCAGTTCAATGGAGAAACGACATTGTTAAGGTTTTATCCGTTTTTCATTCCCCCCGATATAAGCCACCTGTCCGGTAAATCAATGTTAGAAGATTAATTGCATCCATCGTAATCATGACGAGAAATATTGTTTTTGTTTGTCTTTTCGGGTGTATATTTGGACAGGATTATTATGAACGTAAGTAGAACCTTATTAAGTTTGAAATTGACATGTTGATGAATTAAGAGGAAAGTAATGTTAACGAGTATTCATCGAGAATTTACAACGGCGATCTAGTTAAATTAACTATTAAACTCTTTTCATAGTTTATTATAAAGCCATTGACAGAGTATTCTGTACATTCCAACACCGTAAAGCTAAAAACCAACCGTAAATCATCTTCTCATTTCTTTCAATAGATATAACACGAAATCCGAATTATTTAGACAGTCAAAATAATTCAGATATGAAATGGGTGATCGCAATATCACTATTATATTTGGTGCAGCAAAATAGGTTGACAAAAATATGAATTTAGTGATTTTGTTTAACTGATTATTTAACACAGATTGTTTGTCTTCCTCTGTCATAAAAAAACAACTCATGTAAATTATAGCTATATAAAACCATTTTAAGTTTTTAAAACTAAGCTAACAATTAATTGGAACAAAGCAGTAAGAGCAAACGAAATACGAGTCTGATAAGATTCGAGAATGTAATTAAGATAACAAAAATGCGACCATTCCTTTTTCAGAGCGACATAAATATCAATACCAGGCGCAAACGCCTCTCCACAGAATCCCAAACAAATTCGAGGTAAAAGGTGATAACGCAATAGGAGAATTCAACAAATACTTAACGAACATTCAAGAACTGGCGAAGCGAGATAATCTCACGGTTACTTACAAAGTAAAAGTCGACGTGATATCAAAAGAAAAACATCAGAAGAAAAAGACGCTGAAGAAGGGAATATCGAAAAAGTATAATGTGCCGTTGAAAAAACAGAATATGAAGCTGTCGAATTTCGAAATGATCTTACGGAAGAGAATAGGGGAGATAGGCCAGAAACAACAAAGAGCGGAGAGCGATTTATCTACGACGCAGAAAGAGAAGGTTCTGTTGACGACAAAGCCGCCGTCTGCGGGTAAATATAAGCCGATCATTAGAAGTTTTAAAACTAAATACGCTAAAATTGTAAGACCAGTACGGACTAATGTCATCACTTTGACTAAATAGTTTATTTATATAAATAGTTTATAGTTTTGTACATAATTGTAATATACACACTTAAGTTACACACAATTAATAAATTTCTTAACTATCTTTTGTTTTTTTTTTTAATTTCTTGATTACTAAAATGGTTTATTCATTATTTCAAGTTTATATTCTAATAGAAGAAATAGTAATAAAGACTTTTTAATTTGAAAATAATCCTCACAAGATTAACTTAATCTAAGAAAGAACTTATGCTACAATATTTGTACACTGTATTTGAGAGATGTGACGTAAAATCGACGAGGTAGATAATAAGGTTCTATTGTAGAGGATATATACCAGACTATTATGTGTTTGACAAAAGGTAAAACTAGGTTGGGGACATTATCTTCATTAAGATCGTGAGATATACTAAGGTATGGTGACCATTGATTGCTATAAGATACTGAATTATATTATTAATTTTTAATTAATGACAGACAATTCTTTATTCGATTGTATGTGCAATTAATTAGATCAATGCTTGTTCTCTTTCCGACGAAGCTTTAGAAGGTAACTAACTAAAGCAAATGTAAAGAAAATGTACTAAATAAACATATTTAACTGAATAATTAGCACAAGTGGCAGTACCTACGACGCATTTTTTGACATTATGATTCTACAGCAGCAGTATTTAGCAGAATATCTCTTGCTATGAAACCGAATCCTTATGACCTCATGTGAGATCTTCTATTTCTAATATCCTTGTAGGTCGAGAGAATACGCTTTTCTTAAGTTTATAAATATTTATTAATTTCGATGAAGCGTACAATAGAATGGATTCTAGGTTAATCTGTTGTCTATGGACAAATAACTTTTAACTAGTCACGAAATTTGTGGTATTGATTGCTATTTCTATAACAAGACAGTGCTTTTTATATAGCCTTCATATTATATGATAAAATTGTATATAATATTAATATAAAAAATCATGTGTGTTGAAGTCCAGTTATTTTAGTAGTAATTAATACTTAGATTTTTTTTAGGTATAATAAATTCATAAGCGATTTTATTAAGACGAACATTAAGAAGTAATCTTAATGTTCGTTTAAGCTTAACTTCGGTGAAGTAGAAGTTGTCCTAATTATCTTAGTCTTTAAACCTGACTACGAAAATTAGGATCGCTATATCGGGTTGCCATTAGAAACAATATTAAGTTAAGATATAAAATCTATACTAATATATAAAGTTGAAGAATTTCTTTGTTTGTCTGTTTGAAGGCGCTAATCTCTGGAACTGCTGGTTCGAAATGAAAAATGCTTTGTGTGGACATTTATTGAATATCTAACTGCTATAAAATATCGCACTGTGACTAATAGGAGCGATGAAACGGCGGGAAATGTGGGAAAAAAACGGGGGAAATTATTCATCTCTGTGGGTTACCGATGCGCATGCTGCGAAAATGTTTTAAGGCACTGAAAAATATGTGTGAAAGACTAATTCCTCTTTAAATTATCTAAAAAAAATGTGCGAGACTATATGTCTATCTTATGATTAAAAGCATGAACGACAGGACCCGAACGATGCATCGCGAGCGACGGAACGCGACCGATGTCGTGGATAACAGTTTAATAAAGATGAAGAGGAAATTTTTTAAATTGAATTTGGATTCACAAAATAACTATTAAACGCGGCCGAACTCGCTGACACACCTAGTTTCATATAATACTAAAGTTTAAAAGTGATGGAGTTTTTTATCATATCGTAAACAACAGCTGATCTACAAAACCGTAAACAGATCTCTAAAATGGTGGTTATTTAATTTCGTGCAGTTTACCCCTGGGGTGTTGCATTGCCGCACAGAGAAAATCGTGAAAAAGATTGTGAAAGGAATAGAAATGGCTATTCAGGATCTTGCCGTATAAGGGCCAACGGACACAAAGCGTCCCCACCTAGCGAACATTATCTGTAACTAATCAATCAATATATATTGTATTGACTCGATTGGTCTCACAAACAGCTATATTATAGGGTGTGAAATTCATTATTTGAAGTTTTAATTAAAGAAAAAAATTGTCATAGTAAATTAAATAAATAAACAATGTAACAAATAATCGGTAATATATATTTTTAAGTAAGTCATAATGATACACGTGTTATTTATTTAATAAATAACACGTGTATTACTATAAAACTTAGTCAATTATAACACACATATGTTTTTACAAAATTATCTGTTCATTCAATTACTAAAATATCATCTAATTTTGTGTATATTTATATATAATAAATTTGTATGCGTTGATAATAGCCGTAACGTGCTGCATAACAAAATGTACAAAATTAAAAGAACTTAACAATTACAATTCAAATAACGATTTTGACGTTTTGTTGTTGTGGTCGATTCCCGTGTGCGGCGACCTTAAATTTTATATTTACAGCATTTTTTAATGGTTACCTTTCTTTACAGTTGCGATATTTTATTGAAGCGTAACTAACTTTAAAAGAAAATTAACTCGCTACATAGCTTCAATTGACTATTCAAATTGAACTATATTTTATATTCAAGTTTTTCTTGTGCGTTTCTTGGCTTATACTAACATAAAATTCTTAGAACTTAGTCCTCAGAGCTGGGAGTGGGAATCGATGTTAGAATATTGAATATTAATGTACTGAGTTCGTGGGTTGCAGAAATCGTATTTTTTTCTATTGTAAGGGCTCTACCAAGGACCCCTACACAAAACCTCATTTTTTTTAATATTTAGCTCTGACGGCCTCTGTAGCTTAATAGTTACACGTGTTACCCAGCAGTGCATTAAGAGCAATAGGTCCGGGTTCAAATTCCGAGGAAACAGAAGGGTTTTAGTTCTAGTGTTTCGATCAGGCAGTGCACAGAAGTCTGATCAACTGTATGCCGGTAAATACAATTGATCAGTGTATATCATGTAAATGCCCTGCTAGTTGAAACGGGATTTTATGTTACAATAACTATCCCTTTAAAATCAATACCAAAATTATTCTACTTCTCTAAAGGCGGAATTTACTTTAGTGTATCCAGTACTAAATGAACTAAGTAATCACTAAGCATTCATTTGCGATGGAGTAACGGCTGAGATCCAATTTGCATAACTTAGCTCTGGAAGTGATTACATTGTAGGCACATACCCCTTGCGTTAGATACAACTCAAACTATTGTAAAACTATAAACAATGGGGGGGTGATTTTATCACACTACCGATAGACTTTATAGTAGTATTTTCTGTCGACCTAAAAATGGTAATGACTTATGTGTTTATCTCTGTTTAATTAATGCTGGAGGAAGACAGAAAAGCATGAGGTAAACTTGATGATAACACCGAGAAGATGCGCTGTCGCCTTTTTGGCTTTGGATACTCTGAAAACCACAGGCTGAAGCCGAAACGCGATTAAACTTCAGACGGCTTTTACATCTGTGAGCAGTGGTTTATGACCTGGACGAAATTTCGATATTCCTACCACCCATTTAAAAATTCAGATTTCCAGAAAAAGTTCGACATATTTCAGAAAAAAAATATAAATTAAAAACTTTTTTCATATGTTATTGTACATTATGGCTCTTAAAAATTGATTAGAAATACGTTGGACCGAGTGAGGATCGAATCCACGATCCGTTAATTTTAAGATAATGATAAATTATTATACCGATAGTGAAACCGACTTTATTGTACATAAGCCAGACATATTTCAGTGTCTGTTTCATACATTTGTGTGTAAATTTGGATTTTACATTTTAAATCATTATTATGAATAAATTAAAAATACAAATTCAATTCGTCCTAAATGCAAACGATACAGCGTGTTTACTATCACAAAAACCGAGTTAGCATACACTTGATGAGAATTTCAAAGCTTAAAACTGTTTCTAACTTTATTTTAGGGAATATCAACTGCTTTCAGGAATTTTAATTTGGCGAGTTTTTGGTAATGTTGAAAACAGACTTCGCACGGAAGCTAAAAAGGATTTTGTGCTATGACTTTTATTGGTTTTTAGAAAATTTGCGAAAGTAATGTATTAAATTATTATTATAATAATGTTCATAAACACCTCCTATTATTAAAGTTGTTTCGTGCAAATTAGCTCTTTGTAAAAAAAAAATAGTAAAGTAAGTCAGTCTTAAGAGTGTCCATAAAAAGAAATTCTATCATAATAAAAAACAATTTATAGTACCCTAGTGTGGACTAGACATATTGTTAATTTTAAGTATGTAATAGAAAAAAAACAAATAATGGAGAACAATATGACGGACAACGCACCTAAAAAAGCAAATCTCGGACACTGAATGTCTAATAAACGTAATGAATATAAATAGATTACATACACACACAAATAGTCGAGAATCTTATTATGTTTATATAATTACTCTTAAATACTGTCTATACTTTACGCGAGTAGTACAAATTTAAATAAAACACTTTAACGGTTTAAAACGCGATATATTAGTTAAACTTATTTGGAAATGATTTTTAACTTCGGCCCGACGTTTCGGATGCTTTGCAGCAGCCGTGGTCACGGGGAGACAGTCTCCCTGTGACCACGTCACAATCATTTCCAAATAAGTTTAACTAATATATCGCGTTTTAAACCGTTAAAGTGTTTTATTTAATTACTCTTACTTTACCTTTTTATTACACTTAATTTCTTTTCACTTCAAAGTGTCAGTCTAAAAAGCAGCGTTGCTGAGTATGCCGTTACTACACCATTATAAAATGTTAAATAATTAAAGAAATAACATTAAGGTCTTAATTGGACTTGTACTCGTAAAATTGGGCTAAAAAAGATGCTTCTTGTATTTATAAGCTGATTCGTATTCTTGACCAATTATTTAGGCATCAATATATAATTATAGATGGATAATCCTCGCAAAACCCTCACGCGTAATCCAATGAAACTCTATTAGATCCTGGGTTAATTAACCCTGTCCCTAAATCCATTCCTATTTAGAATTATTGTTAATCTATAATAACCTCTGCAATAATACTAAATAGAGTTCAATTATACAGGACAACCGGGATAATCCGAATTTTATCGACCAACGAAGTGGACAATGTAATGCAATATACATTTGTTAATCACACTACGGCGTCAAAGCTTAATAAAACGCTCATTATGTTAGGAAGAAAAATCGCATAATAGCTTTGCCGTTCATTTATAAACTTTGTTAAAAAAACACTATTAACGGATTAAAACGAGGAATAAAATACTTAACTTTCATTTTAACTTCGGTCCTACGTGAATAAAACAGTTTTATTTAAATGTGTACTGTAATTAATTAAAGTAAGAAGAGATACATACATTGTTGACACAGATACATGCGCTGATGGTCGGTCTGTCTGTTACGCTGACACACAGACTGAAAATCAGCGTTTAGCAAGCCTTGCTGAGTACAAGCTGAGTCTGATGCCTTTTAGTACATGTTTAGAATTTGTAATTTTTTTCATCCTTTTTATTGTAAGTTACATTTCTAGTATAGTATAATAGTGTCTCTGTATTAATAAGCGGAATATTTATATATTTATTTAAAATTGTATTAACTGTAGCAACTTATTACTTAAATCAAGCAGGATAATGCTGTTTTATTCAAACAAGCATTTCTCCAGGATAAAGAATACATTACTTCAATTTTGCTACAAGTATAACATCGCATTTGATATCTTATGCAAATCTTCATGTTTGGAAAGTTGGGTCGTAATATCTTCGTTATATTATGTCGAGCCTCTGTTGTTTTACACTTAGAAATACATGCCTTATTACATTAAAGTTATTGAAAACAACGTAGCTTCGTGTACAATTTTGTATTTACAACATTACAATGAATCTGCAAGTAAAAAAGTATCCAAAAACCACAATATTAAGCGACGGTACTTTATTTCCTACTCTGACGATCAATATTCAATCAACTTGCTTTTTAATATAAAATTTAAATGTAATATTCGACTATCAATACACTCAAACCGTAACAAGATCCAACTTCATGACTTTTCACCTGACGATGGTTCTTGACCTGGAAGAAATTTTGATAGTCCTACCACCCTATGAATATCCAGATTTACAGACAAAGTCCAATTTTAAAAGAAGCAGATTAAATACTGTCTATAGTTAGTTATAGTAGTATGTCTCCCCGTGACCACGGTTGCTGCAAAGCATCCGAAACGTCGGGCCGAAGTTAAAAACCATTTTTAAATAAGTTTAACTAATATATCGCGTTTTAAACCGTTAAAGTGTTTTATTTAAAAGAAGAAGATTAGAAAAATGTTGGACCCGTTGGGGATCGAACTCATGATTGACTGATGTATGCTACCATTAGACCAACGAGTTCGTGAAAAGTTATTATTAGGAAATAAAAGCTTTTTTATCCGCATGTCTCACATAAACAAGCTTGGCTCCCTCCGCATAACACCATCTATTTGCCGTTTCATCCATGCTCTCCGAAACTGCCTGTCAGTTAAATGTATCGCCAATCCACGGCCAATTGTATCATTTACTTCCGAATGAACAACACAGCGTATTTGACACGTTAACAACGAACAATTTGATAAATCATTTTGATTAATTATTTTAATTGATAGCTGCTACCGTTACTCGATAACGCGTTAGAAGGAAACGGTTATTGCCTGGAACTTGGACGAGCGAGAATTGATTAGCTTTAGTATAACTGAAATATGTTCCTGGGATCTTTCTATTGGGAAAGTAAAATGATCTTAATAAAGTCAATTGATGTGTATAGTTTTTCTGTATTTTTTTATGATAGAGGCGGACAGACAAGCATGAGTTCAAATTCAAAACGTTTATTGCCAAAAAATTTATATTTAACAACTAAATGTGTACATAAAAATAATAATTAGTAATAAATATATAAGAGATGGCAATCGCAGCCACCCCTGCGCTGGTTCAGACTGCCCGCCATAGAAGTAAAAAGTGATTTTTAGTAAAGT